GGCTCCCACCCCTGCGGAGTGTACCGGAGACAGGGAACAGGCTGTTCCCTTGTCTGGTGACTGTTTGACGGGTGAGGCCCACCTGGAGGGCCCATCCAATTCGGCTGATGAGGAGGTGGAGGAGGAGTCCACACCACGCCTCAGGCCACGGGACAGAACCAGGGAAGTGTCGGCACCGTCCCGTCCGACAGATCCTGTGGTCCCGCCCAATCTAACTTGCCTTGAGCCGGCGTTGCTCATCAAGGGACAGCAAGGGGACCCAGACTTGGCCCCTTGTTTTGCCAAGGTAGGAAAGGAGATAAGGGGAGCCGAGGAGTTTCTCTTGCAGACGGGGGTGTTGCACCGCAGGTCGGGGGAGAGTGATGGGAGTGAAGTGCTACAGGTGGTAGTGCCTCGGGAGTTAAGGGAGGCCCTGGTGCTGTTAGCACATGAGGGACCTATGGCTGGACACCTGGGTGTCCACAAAACTCTCGCCCGCCTGCGGGGAAATTTCTGGTGGCCTGGCATGGCCGGAGATATTACGGAGTTATTAAAGAGTTGTCACACCTGCCAGATGGTGGGCAAACCTAACCAAACTCCTCCGGTTGCACCCCTCCACCCTATTCCTGCTGTGAATCCTCCTTTCACCAGGGTCCGGTTTGACATGGTGGGGCCCCTTCCTACTACCAAGGCTGGTCATAAGTACCTGTTAACCATTATGGATGTAACTACCCGGTACCCAGAAGCTATACCGGTGAGGAGCACCCACGCACGAGTTGTGCTTAAGGCCCTCCTCAACTTTTTTACCCATTTTGGTTTGCCTCCCGAGATTCAGTCCGATCGGGGGACCAACTTCACCTCGAAGTTGTTTAACAAGACTATGACCGAGTGGGGGATTAAGCACTTCTTATCTAGTGCTTATCATCCCCAGTCACAGGGAGCATTAGAGCGGCACCATCAGACGCTCAAGACTATGCTCCGGGCGTTCTGCTTGGAGCGAGAAAAGGACTGGGACGAGGCGGTGCCCTATGTTTTGTTTGCGGTGAGGGAAGCTCCTACTGAGTCCCTGGGGTTTTCCCCAAATCAGCTGGTGTTTGGGCACCGGGTGCGCGGTCCGTTGGATTTAGTACGGGAAGCCTGGTGTGCTCCCCACTCGGACCGCCCCGAGTCGCTCTTGAAGAGCGTGTTAAGGACTCGGGAGAGACTGGTGAAAGCGTTGGAGGTGGCTCAGCAACATCTTGGAGCTGCGCCAAAGAAGAAGAGGAGATACTATGACCCGAAGGTCAAGTATTATGACTTTGCACCAGGGGAGGAGACCACCGAGGTTTCTGGCTCGGAACTGGTGGTTCCCGCAGAACACTGGGGGCAGTGCGGCGTGCTGCTTAGGGAGAGGCTGCAGTACCTGGAAGGAGTGCAGAAGAAGAAGTTTCACTGTCAAAGTGAAGGGGTTATCACTGGGGTGAAGCCCAGGGATAAGCGTGAAAGCTCTGTTTATTCCGTCTGGAGCTCTAACCGCGACCAGATTGAGGAACCGCTGAACGTCCCCCCTACGAAACACTTTGACACTTCTGCCGAAATACCAGAGCAGGCTCCCGAGGCAGGTGTGAACGCTGCTGAAGCAGAAGT